GAATATAAAACAGTTACCATCATTGGGTCACTCATAGTCTCATATGCTGTTTCTAGGTCTGTTGGCATTTATCCTAACAGATTTTCAGCTGCATATTCTCTATCAAGTTGGATGTTACTCTTCCAGGATCTTTATCTTTTTAAAACTGCAAATGAATTTTTATATACCTATTAAAGGATTAACAACCAGAAAATCTTAATTGTCTGGCCAGGCACTGTGGCACACACATGTAATCATAGCACTTGGGATGCTGAGGCAGGAGTATTGCCATGAATTTGAAGCCAGCCAGGGCCACATTGTGAATTCAAGGCCAACCTGGACTATATAGTGAGACTCTGTTTCAAAAAATAAACAATTTTTTATGATACTCTAATTCTCTTGATGAGAGCTCTACACCTTCTGATATGTAGAATAGCAAATCTTAAATTAATCCCTGGATTTCTAAGATACGTAATTATGTAGACTCTCTGGCTAAGAACTTTTCCTGAACTATTAAAACATTAATTGCTGAGACATAGAGGTGCAATGTTTATAACCAAACAATTACATATTGTGTTTAAAATTTTTTATTGGTATGTTTTAGATCTGTAGAATAACAGATATCATAAGGAATTTATACCTGTACCCGATTTATCTTTTTTGGTACTAGGAATCAAACTCAGGACCTCATGCTTACCAGGCAGGTACTGTGCCACTCAGCTATATCCCCAGGCTATAGGGGATATAGGTCCTGAGTTAAATTGTACCAGAAATTGAACTCAGGATGTGGCACTTACCAGGCAGATGCTTGTGCTACTGAACTATTATTCCTGGCTTACATGATTGATCTTGATTCTTTTCTTCCCATTCCCCTATTTTCCCTTTAACCCTTCTTCCAGTCCTTACAAAAAAGCTTTTTGTTACTTTCTCCTTCTTTTCTTCTCTTCCTCTTTTCTTTCCTTCCCCATTTGAACACTTTTTTAAAAAATTTGTTTGCTCAATTGTCTTTTTTTTTTCAGAACTGGGGATTGAACTCAGGTCCTTGCCACGGAAGTGCTTATTCTTACTGAGCCATCTCCCTGGCCCCATTTGAATAATTTTTCCCTGTTTCACAATACTTGGGATACATTTTGGTCCTTATTTTCACTTTCAATTTTTCATACTAGAAAAACGTGATATTTACGTGTCCAATATATTTCACTTGAGTATGTAAGGC